AAGATGCAAGATTTCCCGCCAAAAAGGGGACTGTAGAGGAGGGGATACATCTAGGACTTATGTGAAAAATCTACTCGTTGAGAAAATGAGACTCTTTTAGGAAAGGCCTCTAAGCCAGAACATCTGTACAGGCGGGCACTGTGGAAGGTCAGTCTGGTTCACCTCGAAACAGTGCTGTAAATATTGAAAGCACACTGCGGATGGCTTGTACTTGATAATAATGTTATACATTAATATTTTCTCAGACAAACAGTTTTTTCCTACAGAGACACTAGGAAGCACCAGGAGGACGCGTTCAACGACTTGAGACACACAATCCGACTTCAGGCGATTCTTCATATTTGAGCCCCGCCACCATTGCGAGACAACTACCCACCCGACTTGATCGAACCGGAACAAGACATTCGGTTCGTCGATTCGGGAGTTGGATTCTGTCTCGTGACGCCTAACGAACAATAACTGATTGCGCATTCATCTCTACAGTCGCGATTCCAGTCAGTCGCGCTGATTTTGCGTGGAGCACTTCTCGCCGAGATACCATTTTCTCCCCACACCAGATCGCGTGGGAGAGCTCACTCGGCGGTTGAAATTCTTGAACGGATTCTGTACTGTATGTGTTTCGTGGTCTATTTGTGTTTTTATTTCACAAATTTTCCTGAAGATATGATTCATTTTCACATGGCCTTCGCTGGATCCTGCCAAATTCCGAGTCTTTGAAGGTTTGTTCTGGACTTGGGACTCGACGAGACGGCTCAGCCGGCTCTTTGCTGCCAGGTTTCAACGAATCACGTCATTCTATTCCACGTGTAATTTGTAAACAGTAGGGCTGGAAACCGGGGCGCTGCCGTTAATCTCCCCGCATTTGGCGGTAGATGACATCCCGCTCGCGCCACTCGCGGGCCGACGCCGTGCACTTGTGCCTGCCCGAACCAAGCGGCTCGGAAGAGCTGCAGCAATCACTCGCCGGATTGGCCATCAGTGCCATATCGCGAAGTTCCACCAATCACTAATTTTGCCTCCTCCCATTTCCCCTCCCCCCACCCCCCTCCAAACTTTGCTAGCCCGAGCCCTCCCCCCCATCCCCCCATTCTGGGTGTGTCGCATTGTGAGTAAAATTGCCACTGCACTAACCTGGAGTTTGCTAATGGATTCCTAATCAAACTCGTATCTCGCAGTGTGTGGCTAGAATGAGATAGGGTAGTCGTACCTGAGAATGGCCTACTCGCCGCGACGTAGCTCACAGCTCCGTGAAGGCGTTTGTATTTCGTCAGAATGTTGCATCTTTTGTCAATTCTGTGAGTGACGATTCCCTGCTCGTGCCGCAATCCCGCTCGATTCATTCAATGGACGACTACGGTTCAAGCTCAAACCACGACAATGGTACTACCAATGCTACTTCTATACAGCATATCTCTTGTAGCAACAATGCTGGGAGCGCGTCGCGGCTCGTGATCCTACGATCGCCGCCACTAGTAGTATCGCCTTCTTCCGAAGGCGACTCGCCGAGGTTATCTGCAGAAAAGGACCTTCTCCCTGATGGGGACGACGGGCAGGACAGTGAATTTCGTCGCGCGGGGCGAATCCAGCACATTGTTAATTCCGACGGTTTTAATTGGCTCAAGTACGGCGAGAAACGCGTCTCGGCGTCTCGGCCGATTGTAAGGTACTACTTTGGGATTATACTTGTGTGCCGATCGGCCAGGGTACATTATTGATAATCTGTCGGACTTCATGTATGTTTTTCGTTTATCTACTTCATTAATTTTCTTCAAACACCGTATAGCCATATCAAAACTATACGGTGTACTGCTGTACATTTAAAACGGGTTCGGATTACTGGACAGGCTCAATGGCATTTGAATTGGTTCCGCCATCGTCAACCACCCAAACTCCCGAGGTTTTTTCCGAGATCTTCTCCACCGATGTTCTCTATTAGTAGTACTCCTGGCAGGGGAAGCGTGAAATTCTCCTTTTTTATTTTGCTTCGAGGCGACCGCAGCGGCGCCTGTGAATCACCTATCAATGACGAGCTAATCACACTGCATGATATTCCTCCACTTCACGTGCGTTCCCTGCCTTCCGCCGCTCACCCTGTCCCCCCCGTCCCCCGTCTACCCCCGTCACCCCGGTTGCCCTGGCGTCCATGTGGCAGGGCCTATTACAAGTGCGTGTGGTCGCGAGCTGAATCCTCACCATGCCGTGCGCGCAAAGTAGTGGAGATCGACCCGTCCAGCAAGGTCACTCCCAGTACACTGCATACTCGTTATATGAACACCCACAACCACCGGACTAAGGGACAGTGCCCCCGCTACCTGCGCAAGCACCTGAAGAAGAAGCCGACCCCGGCGGCAGGCAGTGGCGGCAACGGCAGTGGCAACGGGAACGGGAACGGGAACGGGAACGGGAACGGGAATGGGAACGGGAACGGGAACGGGAACAGAAATGGGAGCGGAAACGGGAACGGGAACGAGAACAGCGACGAGAACGGAAACGGGAACGGGAACAGAGACGAGAACGGGAACGGAAACGGGAACGGGAACGGGAACAGAGACGAGAACGGGAACGGGAACGGGAACGGGGACGGGAACGGGAACAGAAACGAGAATGGAAACGGGAACGGGAACGGGAACGGCAGCGGCAACGAGAACCGGAACGGGAACGGGAACGGGAATGGCAACGGCAACGGCAACGGCAGCAGCAACGGCAGCGGCAACGGCAGCGGCAACGGCAACGGCAACGGCAGCGGCAGCGGCAGCGGCAACGGCAGCGGCAACGGCAACGGCAACGGCAGCGGCAGCGGCAGCGGCAACGGCAGCGGCGGAGGCGCAGGCCGCTGCCTTGGCAGCGCTGCAACGAGGAGGAATCTTACCACCCCCTCCGCTGGCACTGGTGTTCAGCGTCCGGTGCAAGTGGTAAAAACCGAATATCCGGACACGGCAGAAAGAGAGGAAAGAGCGGATGAAACGACGAAGGGAGGGGCCACGGGCACTGGCAGCCTTGTCGGCTGCGAGTCGCGGCCTGCTACGCCCGTCACTCCGCTCCCCATTTTCGAGTCGCCCATTGGCCGTCCCCAGTCGCGGTACGCAACGATCGCGAGAGGCATGGCCCTGTCTACGCGCGCGCCTGCACCCGCGCCTGCGCATGTGGTTGCGCCTGCGCCTCCGCCTGCGCCTGCGCCAGTGCGGCCTATGCTTGCCCCTCTGCCTGCGCCTATGCCTGCGCGTGTGCCTGCGCCTTTGCCTGTACGTATGCTTGCGCCTATGCCTGCGCCTGCAGCGTTCACTGGCGCCGCCACTGCCACCGCCACTGCCGCCGCCACTGCCGCTGCCACTGTCAGCGTGAGCAACGGAGTCGTTAAATCCGAGCCTAGATGGAGCACGAGGGTGCCTTTTATCTCGCCAGTTTACCACTTCAGCAGCAGCAGCACTGGCGGCAGCGCTGGCGGCAGCGCTAACAGTAACATCAGTGGCACTGGCACTGGCAGCGGCGGAGGCGTGGGCGGGGGAGCAGCATCATGGGTGCGGATCGTGCCTCAGTGCCCTGCGCAGGTGGGTGGAGGGCTGTGGTCAGCCGCTGCACCCGCATCTGCCGCTGCTGTTGCATGCCCTTTATCTCCTGCCCTATCTCTCTCACCTGCTGCCTTATCTGTGACTGCCTCCGCTGCTTCTGCTGCTGCGACCCCTGCTGCTGCTGCGGCATCACCTTTCCCATGCCGTCTTGCTGCGGCTGTAGCACCACCGGCACCGGCACCAGCACCAGCACCAGCACCAGCGCCAGCGCCAGCGCCAGCACGACTTGGAAGCTGTGGTTCCGGTAGCAGCAGCAACACCACTGGTTCTGGCCAGTCAGGGCACTTGGCATGCTCCGGGCAATCTAGCCATTCGGGAGGATCGGGGATTTTCGGGCTGTCTGGGGATTCTTCTTTTGTGGCAGCTGGTGCAGCTGGTGCTGCTTGTGCTGCCGGTGCTTGTGCTGCCGGTGCTGCTTGTGCTGCCGGTGCTTGTGCTGCCGGTGCTGCTTGTGCTGCCGGTGCTTGTGCTGCTGGTGCTGCTGGTGCAGCTGGTGCTGCTTGTGCTGCTAGTGCTGCTGGTGCTGCTGGTGCTTGTGCTGATTGTGCCACTGGTTCTGGTACTGCTGCTGCTGTGGGTGGTGCTGGTAACAGTGGGGGCAGCAGAGACAGCAGCGACGGCAACGATGGCGCTGTTGCTCTTGCGGTTTTGATGAAAGGAGGCAGCAGCATCAGCAGCATCACCGCGCTCCCTGTCACTATGATGCCCGCATTCATCCAGCCTAATGCAGTCGCTGCCTCTGCTTCACCTGCTGCTGCTACTGCATCTATTGTTGCTGCTGCTGCTGTTGCTGCTGCACCCAATGCTGTCGCTGCACCATCTCCTGGGTTCGCTCCAGCAGCAGCAGCAACCCCTCCCAGGGCGCAGAGCCGCCGTCCCTTCCGAGTGCCCAGAAGCATGGCTGGCGCTGCCATAACTGCTGCCTCTGCACTTGCTGCCTCTGCTGCCACTGCTTCTAATAGTGCTGCCTCTGCACCAATTGACACAGCAGGAGCCACCACCAAAACTGCTGCTTCTGCTTCTGCTGGATCCACAGAAACTGCTGCCTCTGCTGCTGCTACGTTTTCCGTTGCTGTGTCTGCTGCAGGCGCGTCTGCTGCGGGTGCGGTTCACCCCGCTCTCCTGCCCTCATCCACCCTGGTGCTGCCGGTGCTGCTGGCTCAGCCGGCGCATTCTCATGCCGCTGCCTCTGTGCTCGCTGCTGCCCTCACGGCTGCTGCCAAAGCGCCTCCTCCTCCTGCTGCTGCGTCTCCTCCTGTTGCTGCTGCGCCTCCTCCTGTTGCTGCTGCCGCTGCCGCTCCTGCTGCAATTGACACCACTGCTGCTGCTATTGACGCCACTGCTGCTGCGGCGTGTGTTCGAGACGCTGCCCGTGCTGCAGCGTGTTACAAAAGCACGCTTGCCTCCCGCCAAGTGCTCCGTAGCCACGAGATGTTATTGGAGTGCAAGCCCTGCCTTGCCGACTTGCCAGTCACCGCGCTCATCCCGTCTGTAGCCTCTCATCCCGCCGCCACTGCTGCCGCTGCCGCCCCTACCGCTACTGGTGCCCCTGCTTCTTCTGCAGCTGCTGTGGGCTCTTCCCCTTGCTCACACGCAGCTGTTGCCTCTGTGAGACAGCTTGATCCGCCCGCGCTTGTGGATGCAGCTGCAGCACTTGCTGCTGATGATTCCACAGCAGCAGCTCCTGTCATTGGTGGTGGTGTCTCTTCCGAATTCGTTGGCGTTACTGCTGCTGCTGATGCTGCTGCTGCTGCTGCTCTGGTCACTGAATTAGCAGCTTCATTAGCAGAAATAAAAGCTGAAACTGAGTCTGAAAACGGCCTCACCAATAAGCCGGCTGACCCGCAAATTGAGGCCTCTTTAGCAGAACCAAATTTCGAGGAACAGAGCACAGAGCAGAAGGGCGGTGGGGCAGCGGATGTGGTGGGAAGGGAAGCCAACGCAGCAGCGGCAACAGGCGCGGCAGGAGCAGCATCAGCAGCTGCTGCAGCTGCAACGGAGTGGGTCCGTCTAGTGCAACTTATTGATATGGAAAACCCTTCTGCTGCTGGCTCTCCTAGCATGCGTTACGGAGGTAAACCGAGCAACTCTGGGCAGCTGCAGCTGCAGCAAGCAACCAGCATGTCTGCTGCCGATGTCGCTGCGTGCTGCAGCGACCTTGCAGGAGACGATGGTCATCATGATTCGGATCCTGATCCTGACTCTGACTCTGATCCTGAACATGATCCTGAACATGATCCTGAACATGATCCTGAACATGATCCTGAACATGATCCTGCCAATGCAGGGTTGCAGCAGCTGATGCTGCCAGGAGATGCCGTGGAGGATTTTCCTGCTTTGCAGTGGGATGAGCTTCCGTGGGTGCCTGCTTTACCAATGGAAATGACAATGGGGATGGGGGAGGTGGCGGCACAGGGGGATACTGGTTCGTCCGACCCTGCTTTTGGTGGTGGGGATGGTGCTGCTGATTTTATTGGGACTGGTAATACTGCTCTTTCTGCTGATACTGCTGCTGTTGGCGATGCTGCTGCTGCAGTTCCTGCTGTTGCTGCTTCTGCCGTCTCAGCTGATGCTATAGCTACAACAGCACAATCCAGCAACACCCTCGCATTGCCTCAACCGTCCCACGCTGATTCACCCTCTCCTGCCTCTTTCCCGCCCACAGCAGCCTGCCATCCTCTGTCGCGCCCCACTGCTCCCCATCCCTCAACACTCACAGCGTGCGGAGCACAGGCAGCAGCAGCAGCAGCAGCAGCCGTGCCTGTGCCTCTTCAGTCGCGTCACTCGTTTGAAGAGGCGCAGAAAGCATCATATGACGCGCAGCCAGCCGCGTCGCCAGCCGCGTTTTTCGAGACGTCTCAAAAGGCGTCTCAGGAAGGGTATGAAGCTGTGCGTGCAACAACGCACCGCAAGTCACCGAGCGTATTTGTGGCGCCTCAAAAGGAATGTCAAGACGCCGCGGTCCGGTCTCTTGAACCACTACGCTCGTTTGCAGTGCCTCAGCAAGGGGTTTCAACACATCAGCAAGGGGTTGTTGCAGCAGCAGCAGCAGCAGCGGCGCCAAGACCGTCTCACAAGACACTGCGCCCTGCCCTGTCCGCTGCACCTCAGCAAGGGGTTGCTGCTGCTCCAGCTGCAGCAGCATCCGGCGCACAGGGCGTGCCTCACAAGTCACTACGCTCGGCCTTGTCTGCTGCCCTCGCTCACAACCGGATGATACTGGAGCGGCACAGCATGCGCATGCTCGCTCACTCGCAAACCACGTACCGGCCAGAGCAGCCGTTGAGCCTCAAGAGAAGCTGCTGGGACGGGCATGCTAACGATGAAGGAAATTATGGGGGCCACGGTGGGGGGTATGGAGAGCATGGGCGTGGTGGGGAGCGTGCAGAGGATGGGGATGATAGGGGAAGCTACACGGTTCTAAATGAAGGAGGGGGGCACGATGGGAGTTATGGTGAGGGATACGGTGAGGGGCATGGTGAGGGGCATGGTGAGGGGCATGGTGGGGGGCATGGTGGGGGGCATGGGGTTGATGAGGGGAGTTTGAAGGTGGTGAATGACAGTGCTGGCAGCAGCACTAGGAGTGAAACCGCGCAGGAGCAGTTGCAGGCTGAACGGGAGGCGGAGGTGCAGGCACGGTTGAGGGCAGAATGGGACATGCAGGCTCGTGGAAACTATAGCAATCACGACAAGAATCACAACAGCAATGGGGGCTGTAAGGGGGGGGAGGCGAAGGAGGAGGCGAAGGAGGAGGCTGTCAAAGCACTGCTGCCGTTGGGTGATGCACCATTGGATGTGATGCACCTCCAAAGTCACCACGCTCCTGCTGCTGCTTCTGCTGATCCAGAATTGCCCTGGCTGGGTGTTCCGCCGAGCTCCAAGGTTACTGCGCGGTTCAAGGTCCCTCAATAACAAGAACGCAGATCTCTCCAGAAGTTCAGCGAGGGTTGAAGTGTGGTGGGGCAAGTCGACTGGACTGGTCACGACTCAACCGGGCTAGTCAGTGCAGTGGTTAGGAACAGCTACTACAATTTTTGAGGGGGGAGGGAAGGGGTGGAAGGGAGGGGTTGATGAATAATTGCTTTCACGGGTTTGTCAGGGCGTGCTAGTGCTCTAATACGTTCTTCCGGTGAGAATCGTGGGGCTGGAGCTATCTGTAGGTGCGTGGATGCATGGGACGGTATGTGATGCTCTGTTCTACCTTGTTTTCTAAGATTTCGCTTATGATTTTCTTTTGTGAAGTGAATGCGGCGGTTTCAGAATGTACCGTACCACTCTATAACAGAAAGGGCCCAAAATATCAGGGTAAAACGCCCTGATTACCCTGGGGGCCGGCCGCTTTTTCAGGATTACCCTGCCCAAATCAGCCTTTCAAGATAGTTACCCTTCTCTGAAAAGTGCATGTTTTTTTTCACCCTGATGGGATTTATGGTTAGCCTGACGGAATCAGGGTAGGGTGTAGACTACCATTTTACCGAAACCTTTTTTAACGCGAATCGGACCATACTCGGTGTGGTGACAAAATGTACCACACCCCCCCAAACAGGCGTTGTCGCTTGTGACCACGCGCATTAAATCTTGCTTCGTTGTCGGCGACACACCTCGTTGCCTCATTGGTTGTTTCTCCCGCAGGACTGCCAACGCATTCTTGATTCCTGCCACAAGATGCCACGCCCCCCGCCAAGACAGCATAGATGGGTGTCAAAGGCAGCTTCAAGCTGTCCTTGACAACAAATTGCAGGCCCAGTCCTGTGTCAAACATATGCATATGTTATATTTGTGGGTAGGCTGTAGTGGGGTTGATAATGTGGGGTATAACCCCTTAGGGCCTCCTTCTTGTACAATTCTCTCGATAGTCAATCCCATGCCTGCCTAGTTTCTAAGACGGTATCTAGAGCAGTAGGTCTTTAGGACCTAAGTTTAGGGCCCACCTGTTACCGCGTTACCTCACCTACGGCCCTGCCTTGCCTGCTGCCCGTGCGCGTATCTTTTTTTTAGCTCGCGCTGCTGCTGCAGCCACCTCCGCAACCCGCTGCAGCGCCGCGCGCCGCGCCCGCAGCCTGTGCCGAGCCCGCGTCGCCCGCGCGCGGCCCGCAGCTGCCCCGCGCACCGCTCGCGCAGCCCGCGACGAGCCCGCGCAGCCCGCCGCCGCGCGCAGCCAGCTGCCGCACGCAGCCCGCAGCCGCGCGCAGCCCAAAGCCGCGCGCAGCCCGTCGCCTCGCGCAACCCGCAGCCGCGCGTGCCCTGCCCCGCGCGCCGCGTCTGCCGCCTGCGCAGCCCGCTGCTGCTCCGCTAGCTGCCTTAGGAGCGCACGCGGCCTGCTGCTGCCTCGCGCGCCGCCTTAGGAGCTCGCGTGCGGCCCACTGCTGCCCCGCACACCGCTGTAGGCGCCCGTGCGCGGCCCGCTGCTGCATCCTACGTGCGGCCTGCTACTGCCCAGCGCGCTGCCTACTGCCTGTTGCCTTCTGCCTGCTGCCTACTGCCTTTGCCTACTGGCTTTACCTGCGCTGCGATTATGGCGACGCTTCATGTTCTCGCGTTTGAGTCTGACGGTCGTCCGATAGAGTTCGCTGTGTGGCTTGACGATCTCCAACTGTTTCTTCTGACCGATGCCAAAGACGGCGTTTCACTGTTCGATTACGTGTCTGGCACTGCCGTTGCTCCTGCTGACGATGCTACTGCTCTCGAACGCTCACAGTGGCAGACTCGCGATGCTGCTGCACGCCTAGCTATTAGGAACCATCTGCCGATCACTGCGCGCGCGCATTTCAGCCAGCACAAAACTGCTAAGGCACTGTACGACGCTGTAGTTGCGCGCTACTCCTCCCCGGCCACTGCAGCCCTAGGTCAGCTTATGCTACCCTACCTGTTCCCCGACCTGTCCTCGTTTACCACTGCTGAGGACCTCATTTCTCACCTTCGCACTAGTGACACTCGCTTTCGTGCCGCCCTTCCAGCCGAGTTCTGCGCCGCAAACCCCCCCCCCGATGTACTTCACTCTCTATTTCCTCGTCACCCGCTTCCCTGACACTCTTAGCTCCGTCAGGGACCACTTCCTAGCCCTAGACCCTACCACTCTCACTGTCGCCGACTTCGAGAAGCACCTCCTAGCAGCAGAGAAGAACATCCTCGCTGTAGGTGCTGCTCGTGGTACTCCTCGCTCTCCCCTCTTTGAGGGGTGCTCCCCCTCCCCTCTTACCCCCTCCTACGCCTCCGCAGCTGCTGCTGTCGACCTCGTTGGTGCTGAGAAGGTCGCAGCTGCTTCCGCTCCTAGTGGGAAGCGCAGCGGCTCCAGGGGAGGCAAGGGTGGCAGGGGTGGCGGACGTGGCAGTGGAGGGGGCGGTGGTGGAGGCGGCGGGGGAGGTGGAGGTGGTGGGGGTGGTCGTGGGGGTGGAGGTGGTGGTGGGGGCGGTGGTGGTGCCGGGAGCGGTGGCGGTGGCAGCGGCGGTGGTGGCGAAGGGGGGAGTGGTGGTGGCAGCGGTGATGGGGGCTTGGGTGACACCAGTGGTGGCCAGGGGCAGAAGCAGCAGCAGCAGCAGCAGCGTCAGCGCCAGACCCCCACTTCCTAGCAGCTTCTTGACTGGTATGCCGGGCGTGGGGCGTCTGGGGGCCCTGGTCGCTGCCCCTATATCATTCGCGCAGGTCCCCGCGCTGGTCGCCAGTGCACAGGGTTTCACACTGAGTACCGCTGCTTCGCTCAGCTTAGCGACGCCTCGCGCGTCAAGTTTCCTGATGCTACTGAGTTCCCCAACTGGGCAGACCTGCTTAGGCGTGATGTACCTATCTTTGATCTTGACTATGAGGCTATTCTTGCTGCCATGTATGCATTGACTGTTAGTGCTGAGGGTGACTGCTACTTGTGTGTGCCGCCTGACCCCGGTATAGCCCCAGGTATAGCGCCTGTGGCACTAGGTGCTTGTGAGTCTGCTTCCCCTGGTACTGCGTCCGCACAGGCCTTGCACACCTTCACACTTGACTCTGGTGCTTCCCGCTGCTTCTTTCCCGACAGCACCACAGTCACTCCCCTCCCTGCACCTATTCCTGTCTCACTGGCTGACCCCTCTGGGGGCCCAGTGCTTGCACGGTCTTCCACTGTGCTTCCGTGTCCGGCGGTCCCGTCTGGTGAGCTGTCTGGTCTCCACCTCCCCTCGTTCTCTACGAACTTGGTGAGCAATGCCGTCCTTCAGGATCACTGGGTTGACACCTTTACTCCTGGAGGACAGCACGTGGCGACCTGCACGTGCTCCCGAACCGGCCGTCACCTGGCCACGTTCACACGTGCGCCAGGGTCCAGTTTGTACACCCTCACCACTACGTCACGCTACACCCCTTTGTCTCCCCAGCTGTACGCGTCTGCTCAGGTAGCTGCCCAGTGTGAGTGTCGCCGCCTGTCGCACGACACTCTCCTGTGGCACCACCGCCTTGGTCACCCCTCCCCACCTCGCCTTCGTAGCATGCACTCTCGCTTCCTGGTCTCTGGCCTTCCCAGGTCTCTGCCTGCCCTCCCTCCCTTGCCTGCGCCGCCCTACATTCCTTGCGTCGAGGGGCGGCAGCGCGCCGCTCCTCACTCCTCCTCGTTCCCTCCCACAGAGGCTCCACTGCAGACTCTCCACCTGGACGTGTGGGGCCCAGCCCGCGTCCGTGGACAGGGCCACGAGCGGTACATCCTGCTGGTCGTCGACGACTACACGCTTTACACCACGGTCTTCCCCTTGCAACGCAAGGCGGAGGTCCCTGATGTTTTGATCCCCTGGATCCGCGCTGTTCGTCTCCAGCTCCGCGAGCGGTTCCAGTCGGGCTTTCCTGTCCTGTGTCTGCACTCTGACAGAGGTGGTGAGTTCTCCTCAGACCTCCTGGCAGCCTTCTGTGCGGAGCACGGCATCCGCCAGACGTTCACGCTTCCGGCCTCTCCACAGCATAATGGGGTTGCAGAGCGCCGCATTGGCTTAGTCATGGAGGTCGCTCGTACCTCCATGATCCATGCGGCTGCCCCCCATTTTCTGTGGCCATTTGCGGTCCGGTACGCCGCGCATCAGCTCAACCTCTGGCCTCGTGTCTCCTTGCCGGAGACCTCGCCCGCATTGCTGTGGATGGGGAAGGTTGGCGATGCGTCGCGTTTCCGGGTCTGGGGTGCTCGTGCCTTTGTCCGCGATACCACCGCGGACAATTTCTCCCCTCGCGCCATTCCCTGCGTCTTCCTTGGCTTTGTCCCTGACGCGCCTGGCTGGCAGTTTTACGACCCCGCCTCGCGCCGTGTCTTTCCGTCTCAGGACGTCACCTTTGACGAGCCAGTTCCCTTTTACCGTCTCTTTCCCTACCGCACTGCCCCTCGCCCCCCCCCCCCCCCGCCGCTCTTTCTCACCCCAGGTCCTCCCCAGGTTGACCCCCTCCCCGCGCCAGGTCCTGCTCCTTCAGGTGTCTCTCAGGTAGACCCTCCCATGCCTGCGCCTGTTGAGGCCACTGGTGACTCAGGTCCTGCTGGGGGTGGTGCTGTCCCTGGGGGTGCGGAGTTTGGGGGTGCGGAGCTTGGGGGTGTGGAGCGTGTTGGTGCTGAGCATAGAGGTGCGGAGCCTGAGCGTGAGGACCCAGGAGGTGCTGAGAATGGGGGTGCGGAGTCTGGGGGTGCTGAGCCTGCGCGTGAGGAGCGTGGAGGTCCTGAGCCTGGGGGTGCGGCGTCTAGGGGTGCTGAGCCTGCGCGAGAGGAGCCTGGGGGTGCTGAGTCTGGGGGTGCGACGCCTGAGGGTTCTGAGACTGCTGTTACGCGGTCTCCTTGGGGTAGCCGCCTTCGTCCGCGTGTGCCTCTCACCTCACAGCAGCTGCACGACTGGTACGGTCGCCGTCAGGGTCGCGCTTCTGGAGCTCGGGGCTCTGCTGCTGGAGGTACTTCTGCTGACGTCACTGGAGCTGGGAGTGGTGCGGGTCCTTTGTCTACTGGAGCTGCTGGAGTCGCTGGTCCCGGAGGTGCTCGTACTGGAGGTACTGGAGCTGCTGGGGCTGGAGGTGCTGTGTCTGAGGGTGCTACTGCTGGAGACCCTGGGTCTGGGGGTGCTGCTGCTGGAGGCACTGAGGCTGGAGACCCTGGGACTGGACGTGCCGGTTCTGGGGGTGCTGCAGCTGGTGGAGCTGGTCCTGGAGGAGCTGGCGCTGAGGGTTCTGGAGCTGCTGGAGGTGCTGGAGCTGCTGAGGGTATTGGAGCTGCTGGAGGTGCTGGAGCTACTGGTGCTGGTGGCACGGCACAGCCGCGCCTGTTCTTCGCTCCGCCGTCTCCGTCGTCTCAGCCACCGCCTGACTCTGCGCTTCGCCAGGTTCTCAGTCTCCCTTCATCTACTGGTCTTCCGTTATAGCCTGGCTCACAGCTGCCTGCTCCTTCTCCGTACACTGAGCAGACAGGGGGCCTTGCTGAGCGTCGTGAGCCTGCATCGCGTCCTGTCTCTCCTGTCCGTTCTGGTCGTTCCGGTCGTCGTGTTCCTCGTCAGCGTCAGCCGGCTGTCCCAGGCACCCGCCTTGTCGTCCGTCGTCCTTCCTCTCCTCCGCCGCGTGTTCCTCTGCCGTCTCCCCCTGCGTCCTCTCTGCCTGACGTTGCGGACCCTGAGTCTGACCAGTTTCGTACTGAGCACCCTACTGTCACGCGTCTGTTAGCCACTGTTGTCACTGACCCGTCGTTTGAGTCCACTGCTGCGTCTGCCCTAGTCGCTGAGCTTGTCGACTTTGCTGCTGCCTGTCGTCTAGACTACGCTGCTACTCTTGTTGCTGAGTCTGAGTCTGTCTGTCCTCCGTCCGTTGGGGGTGAGTGTGCTCTTAGCACGGACGTCCTTGAGGACAGGCACGAGGACCTTGAGTGTCTTGCGGCCGCTGCGCCTCATCTCGTGGCCATGCTGCTTGCCCCTGAGGGAGACCCGGATGCAGCAGACATCCCGACCCCGCGCTCTTACGCTGAGGCGATCGCGGGTGAGTACTCTTCTCAGTGGCAGACAGCCATGGACGCAGAGATGGCATCCTGGAAGTCCACAGGCACGTACGTCGATGAGGTTCCCCCTCCCGGGGCGAACATCGTCCACGGCATGTGGATTTTCAGGGTGAAGCGGCCGCCAGGTTCTCCGCCTGTCTTCAAGGCTCGTTACGTTGCTCGAGGCTTCAGTCAGCGAGAGGGAGTTGACTTCTTCCAGACCTTCTCCCCCACCCCGAGGATGACTACTCTTCGGGTGCTGCTGCACGTTGCCGCTCAGCGTGACAACGAGCTTCACTCTCTTGACTTCAGCACAGCTTTCTTACAGGGCAGTCTGCACGAGGAGATCTGGCTGCGCCGCCCTCCTGGCTTACCTGGGTCGTTCCCTCCTGGTACCCAGTGGAGCCTCCGGCGGCTGGTCTACGGTCTCCGCCAGGCGCCACGTGAGTGGCACGACACACTGAGGACGACGCTTGCGGCTCTTGGGTTTGCTCCGTCGACTGCTGACCTGTCGCTGTTTCTGCGCACCGACACTTCGCTACCACCGTTCTACATCCTGGTGTACGTCGACGACTTGGTCTTTGCCACTGCTGACACTGAGGCTCTCGCCCTGGTGAAGTCGGAGCTGCAGAAGAGATACACGTGCACAGACTTGGGTGAGCTGCGCAGTTACCTTGGCTTGCAGATCACCCGGGACAGAGCACGCCGCACCATCACACTGATTCAGTCACACATGGTGCAGCAGGTCCTTCAGCGCTTCGGCTTCACCTGGTCCTGGGCACAGGCCACTCCTCTGGCTACAGGTCTCTCGCTCTCAGCTCCACCTTCGGACGAGTCCGTAGAGCCGAGTGGTCCTTACCCAGAGCTAGTTGGCTGCCTCATGTACCTGATGACCTGCACTCGTCCTGACCTCGCGTACCCTCTTGGCCTTCTAGCTCGCTACGTGGCTCCTGGTCGGCATCGAAAGGTGCACATGGATGCTGCTAAGAGGGTACTGCTCTACTTGTGCAGTACATCAGGCATGGGGCTCGTGCTTGGAGGGCGGAGTCCAGTTGTCCTCACTGGGCACTCAGACGCTTCTTGGGTTGACGACCAGGCTACACAGCGGTCGTCACAGGGTTACACTTTCAGCCTTGGCTCCGGTTCTGTTTCTTGGCGTTCTACTCGCTCGTCTTCTGTTCTCAGCTCCAGTTGTGAGGCTGGGTCTACGCCACAGCCATGGCTGCTCAGGAGTTACGCTGGCTCACCTACCTGCTGACCGACTTGGGAAAGAGGCCTCATTCTCCTCCAATTCTGTACGTCGACAACAAGGCCGCCATTGCCTTGTGTGAGGAGCACAGACTGGAGCACAGAACGAAGCACATCGCTCTACGTTACTTCCTGGCTCGAGAGTTGCAGCAGCGGGGTCAGCTTCGCCTTGCTCACGTGGCCACTCGGGCCAACACTGCTGATATATTCACCAAGGCACTTCTGTCTGGTGACCATCAGCGCTTTTGTACTTTGTTGGGCCTTGTGCCTACGTTTCCACACTTGCTGTAGACTCTGCTTGTACTGTGATCTATATATATATACCTGCATGCTTTCTCTTGCTAGGTGGAGATCACTGTACTGTTCTTGTTGCACATATACCTCTGCATATGAACTGGCCCTGTGGCCTTGTGCTTGTGCTCAGTGTGTGTGGTGACATTGTGATCCACCCTGAGCTTGCTTTGCTTTTCTTGACCTCTTGCTCTCCCCCACTTTGCCTATGGGGGTGTGTCAAACATATGCATATGTTATATTTGTGGGTAGGCTGTAGTGGGGTAGATAATGTGGGGTATAACCCCTTAGGGCCTCCTTCTTGTACAATTCTCTCGATAGTCAATCCCATGCCTGCCTAGTTTTTAAGATCCTGCACTGCTGGCCATGCATGAGCCATGCACATACCTGATCGTCCCAGCCCAACCCAACACCATACATTCAAATCAAACCCCAAACCCTGGTTACCGTACCCCTCCACCCTCAGCCCATGGTACCGTATCAAGAGTGGCTCTAAAACCCAGGAGGTACCCACCCACGTCTCAGGCTTACAGTATATGCCCCTACTAACCCCCTCTCCTCCTAACCCCTAGCCAGTCTCTTCCATCAGCCCATGGTACATACTAACGAGAAAGAAGTGCAGTTCTGATACGTCTACCGTAAAAACTACACTTCTTTCACAAGGTGGTGAGGTACCCACATCTCGGGTTCACCGTATAAGCTCCCCGCTCAGCCCATGGTATCAAGACTGGCTGTGAGACCCAGGAGGTACCCACATCTCAGGCTTATACTCTCCTCCCCGTCCTGCTGATGCTGCTCCCTCTCTTCCTCCTCCTCCACCTCCTCTGACCCCTTTTCCAGCGTCCACACCCACACCACCACCGGTCTCACTTCCCTCCCCCCCACCTGCCGTAGGACCCCCATTCCCTTCCCCCCCTGCACCTCCCCTTCTTGCTTCTTGCGCGGAGGCATGTGGGGGCGTGGAGGGCGCGGGGTGGGGGCCGGCGGAGGGGGAACGGGGGGGTGTGGAGGGCGGGGGCGGGGGCGGGGGGCGGGGGGTGGCGGAGCGCACGCGGTGCAGCATGGCTTGGGAGAGGCAGTGGGTCATGCGCGCTGCTCCCTCTGCATCTAGGTCCTCTGGGGGCGAGGGGGAGAGGGGGTGGTGGAGGGGGAACGGGGAGGGTGGAGGGCAGTGTTGAGCAGTGGGGGGTGGCGGAGCGCACGCGGTGAAGGTGGTGGGTCATGCGCGCTGCTCCCTCTGCATCTATGTCTTCTGGGGGCGTGGACTGGGCAGGGAGTGCGACAGGGCAGGGTGGGGGGTGTAAGGGTGCGTTGTGAAGGGCTGAGCTCGAATGAAGGCATGTATAATATGCAAGAAAACAATGTGGAAACCAGAGTGGCAGGACGGTAATTGGAGTGAAAATAATAATTTGGTTTCATCTCTTTCCGTCACCTGCACCCTCGTGTCACCTGCACCCTCATGTCGTTGCATGTCATGCTGTATACTCTTCTCCCTGAACCGGCGCCGCTCCTCCTCCTGCTCCCACACTGCTCACATACATGCACCCAGGCATACACCACGCACACATGCACAACCATGAGCTCGGGTAAACGCACTTCCACGCACCAGCACAGATGCACCCATTTCCACCCATACACGCATTCCCACACGCACACACACAGGCACGCACAAACGCACACACGCGCGCGCACAAACACACACGCAAGCACACACACACAAAAGGCTTCTTGGTCCCCTCTTTCCCATCCAACACCTTCACCCTGACGCCCATCCCCTACGCCCTTGACTGACGCCCAACCAATGCACTCTTGACTGAACAACAGAACAAATCCACTGCAAGAGGCAATTCAGAAACATGCAAGCTGAGTGGAACTTGTAAAGAGTACCCTAACAGAACACCCCAGATTCACTCATCGATCCACCCCAGCTCACACAGGCTAGCCGTCACAAGGAGTCTTAGAATCGAATTGATACATTTCATATTCACGGCCTAGACTCACGCTTTGCTCGTTGCTTCACTATCGCTCGGTGCTGCGCCAATGCTGCTATTTCCTGCCCACAGTTGACAGCACAGCAACGCACACAGCAACGCACGGGGCAAGCACGCTTGTCAAAAGGTAATGCGGGTGGCAACATGTGTAGGCGGGTGCAAGGCACATGCATCAGGCATGGGGGCATGGAATGGCATGGCGTGGCATGGCATGGCATGGCATGGCATGGCATGGCATGCAGCACAGCACGGCATGGCATGGCATGGCATGGCATGGCAAGGCTTGGCACGGCACGCATGGCCAGGAATGGCATGGCACGGCATGCAGCACGGCACAACATGGCATGACAAGGCACGTACATCAGGCGTGGGGGCATGGAGGCGGGAGCGGGATAGCCAGCTGGCCCATTCCACTGGTATCAGAGCAACAATGCGCGCAAGGGGGCAGAAACGAAGGTGAGAAGAGTGGGGAGTGATACGTAGGGGGGGTGGAAGAGAAGGAGAGTGCACAAGTAGGGGAGTGCACAAGTAGGGGAGTGCACAAGAAGGGAGAGAGCAAATACGGGAGGCAGAGTACAAGGAACACAGCAATAAGACGAGCGAACACCAGTTAGGGACGAGCGAACATTTCGTATTCACGCCACCCTGCCCAACGACTCGACAGGCACCCCGCTGAGGCGACAGTCAGGAAGCAAGGCACCCCACTGAGGCGACTACTGAGTGAATTGAAAAGGCACATAGCCAGCTGGGCCCACCTGGCAGCTTGGTTGGGTCCGCCCCGCTCCTGCACTCCACCCACCGCCTCTCCCCCGCTGCTGCCGCTCACAGCCGGACGGGTGGAGGGAAGGTGGGCAGGGGGAAATGGGGGAAGGGGGGGACAGGGGGGGGAAGGGGGGGAAGGGGGGGAAGGGGGGGAAGGGGGGGAAGGGGGGGAAGGGGGGGAAGGGGGGGAAGAGGGTGAAGGGGGTGAGGGGGAGCGTGGCAGGAGATAAGACGAGGGGGATTATGAGGCCAGTCAGGCACCCGCCACGCCCCCCTGTACTCCACCCCACCGCCTCTCCACTGAAGAGTCGACTCAAAAGTCACCTGGGAAGCGTGACGGGAGATAGGACGAGGGGGATCATGAGGCCAGTCAGGCACCCGCCCCGCTCCTGTACTCCACCCCACCGCCTCTCCACCGCTGCGATTGCTGGGCGGCGGACAGGGGGAGGAGGGGGGGGAAGGGGGGGACGGGTGCGGAGAGTGGGAGAGAATGCTGGGAGCAGTGGGGAGAGAAAGAGGGAAGAGAGTAGGAAGACGGGACGAGTGGGCTGGAAGAACGAAGGAGCGAGGGAAGAGGGGGAAGAGATGGGAGGGCGAAGAGGGAGAAGCAGAAAGGGCAGCATGCGTCGTGGAAGCTATTAAAGCGAATGAGCTAGACCAGATTGAGTGAGGCGCGAACAAGGCGAGGGGGGGAGGGTGGGCGGACGAGAGGGAGGGTGGGGAGGGAGGGAGGGAGGGAGGGTGAGGAAAAGGAGGAAGACGTGGGGCGGAGAGGTTTGGAGGGAGAGAAGGAGAGGACCGGGATAAGGCACGGCACGCACTCCCTCCCACGGGAGAGGGAACGTACGCATTGAGGAGAGTGCACCCATCATAACGCAGTGCACACATCATCACGCAGTGCACACATCATCACGCAGTGCACACATCATTGCAGCTCCTGAGTCGCCTCACCTCAAGCAGCATAGCAGCTTCAGACTTTGAAGCCCACTCACACACGCCCACGCACACAGGCTCGCGCGCGCGCGCGCGCGCGCGCGCACACACACACACACACTCACACACACACACACACACGCACGCACGCTCACACAGACACACATGTGCGCACACATAAACACACCCCACCCGCACCCTCACACACACGCCCCCACCCCCCTTCCCCCAACACCCTCGCCCCTCCTACCAGGTCCACACACAGCCTCACAGCCACCCACAAAAACACACACTTTCCCAAGCTCCTCGGCCCCGTGTCCCCTCCGCCACTCTCCCGCTCCTCTGCTCTCCCCTTCCCCACCCCCCCACACACACCCACTCAGTGTGACACACACCGTTGGATCGGGACTGCGACTCATCGGCTGGTTGGTAAAAGTACTTATTTCCCGCGTCATCCGTTCCCGCCAAAACCGCGGGACCCCCGCCACGTGCCAGCCGCTGCACGCTCTGCCGCAGACTCGAGGCGATTCGCGAGAGCATCGGGGCTGACGGGCGGACGGGCGACGAGGCGGCAAAGAATCGTCGCGCCGGCGACTCGCGTGCGACGAGCGAGCGACACGCGAGCGCGGACCGGCACTGATGAACGGGGAGAGGAACGCTGTATGTCTTTCCGAGAAGCAATTTATGTCTCAAGGCCAGTGTACTGCCCCATTGAAGCTCTGGAAAAGTAGTCGGAAGGTCGCCAAAAGATGGTTTTGTTACAACGTACAATCACTGACAATAACAAATGTTCATTATCAGCATATGATGTACACGGGATCTACACGAAAACTCCCGGAATGACTCTGAACCGCATATTGCGTACCATGCCATAACGTCAGTAATCATAAAGGTACTGAAGCTGTGACAATGACAAGGCCGCCATGGATTCCTCCGCGGACTTTCAACAGCCTGTTACGTTAAGGTTACTTGGCAGTTGGTAACTTTGAGCACATATCTGATCTCCTGAGTTCGTTAAGAAGCAGAGGATATATTTTTAATGTCTACTACGCGGACATTTTATCTTTGGCTACTTGGGTTCAACTCACTGTTCCATGCTCATTATATGCTAACCAGGTCTCTAGGCTGCCTGATAACTCAGTTTCCACGATAGGTTATATCACTTCTATACAACAACGCTGGGTCTATACATTAAGGCATTGTTCTTCATCTCAAGTTGTTCAACAACTTCGCCATGATCCCAAGGCTTCAACCTCGGGAACACACCATTTTGATCAAGAAAGAAGGTCCCTGGCGTAATGGGAAGGCTATAAGGAGGTGGTGTTCAGAACGCAAGCAGCAGAAGCTTCACAAGCTTATCGGAACAGTTGGTCCCTCTCTTATCAGCTGCTTTCTTCGCGTCATCATCACACCATGCCTCCGAAAGGACGCTCTACGAAGGTGACCGCGGATGTCACGCTCCCTGATGACATCCCCCCGGATCAGAACTTCACGCCGATACCTGTGGGAGAAGGATCTGAAGAGAAGGATTCAACACACACGGTTAACACCGCAAAGGACAACGCCGTCTCAGCAGCGGCGACACCGGCGTCTACTGCTGCTGCTGTCGCGGGAAGCTCCGGTCTGTACGTGAAGGAGAAGAGTCAGATGCACCTTACTGCTACCGCCGCTGAGGAGGAGTTTCTGGAAGACGAGTCGGACGAAGAGCTGGACATTGACATCGCCAAGGAAGATGCTTTTCGTCTTTGGTACACTGCTATCCTACTAATCCCGATGGTGCTGTCACAGGAAATCAAAGCAACCATCTCTCCTGTCCGCCTTCTGATGAAGAGAGTCTGGTGTGCGTCGCTTACCAAGAACGTCGGCGTCACGGCCAACATCCAAGAAATGCTTCCTGGTTACGTGGCCAAGACGCGCTTCTGCAGGCTGCAGATTTCCTTCTTGGACGAGTGTGACGCTCTTCACATCAGGTTACATCTCTTCGAATAAAAGAAAGCGAACAGTCCGGCGATCAAGTGTATATGGCAGCACACTGAATATCCCTCGTACATCAAAGGAAAGGCTTCTCACCCGCTCGCTATTGAAGTGCTTTTCCGTCGCGTACCTGCTAACATTGTCCCTGACGTGCTGAAGGATCTGCTCGTCCGCTTTAAGCTGAAGATGCGGAATCACTCTGCCTTCAAAGAAGGTTTCGCTTTTCACCGCGTGGCTCACCCTCTTACCGGCGCTGACACTGATGTGATTAAAGGCCCGGTCATTCAGCACATGGGAGACCGCTACCGCTGGCGTCACATTGTTGACAATCCGATGGAGGCCGGCGAGAAGCTGCTAGTCCACTTCCCTGCACTGTCTTGCCTCCTCTGCGGTGGACAGCATTATGACATCCATCATGATCTGTACATCACAGAGCGGCAGAACAATATAGGGAAGTGGAACTTAACCCAGGGAAAGATCCATCGCATTAATGGTAACTGCATCTCTTATTCTCACAACGGCATTCCAACCTTACCTTTTTCGCCCATCATTGACGACCTCGATTGCTCTCGCAGCCTCCTCTCTGAGAACCTCTGCCTTGATCACCCCCATCCTGAAAGACCCTGCGATTGCACTTATCTCAACCGGCAGCAACCGCGAGGAGTGGATCTGCACACAACTGTGCTGCGGGAAGGCGAAGGGAAAGTCGTTCATGGCCGCTGCAGATCACATCATCTCATCGACTCACCTGGAGAAGCTGGGCACCGGGACCAAGGCCATAATGGACAAGGCGGTCCTTGCCAATCTGAAGAAAGATTACGGTTTTTTAGGCTGCAAAGCGAGAACTGGGTGTTGTTATCGATAGTAGGATGGAGTGCGGTTGTTAGCGTAGCAACCATCATCAGCCTATGGATGAACAGGGGCTGCCAACCAGTGATCAAATGAGTAACAAAAACGTTTCTCCCTACCAGGCCTGAACGTTAACGGCCTTGGCGACATAACAAAGCAATCCAGAGTCACAGCATGGACACGAACATCAGCTGACATTCTCGTCCTCTCAGACACTAGACTTCCAGATGATCACCCGTACTGGAAAACACCCCCTTTCGCTTTAAACCTGACCACTTCCAACACTGACAAGGCTGGTGGAGTAGCAGTACTCACCAGGGATCCCTCCATTCTGGTTCGTTGCATCTCCGCGCATCCGTCCGGACGCTTAATCGTAGCAGAAGTTAGCCGTCCCAGTCTCACCATTATACTCATCGCAGCCTATTTCCGAGCCGATGCCACCACCAGATGCTCCTTCTTAGCCAACGTCATTGGGCCAGCTATTGACCAGATCCAGTCCACCGCGCACGTAGTCCTGTTAGGGGATCTGAACATGGTAGAAGACCCTACGTTAGACAGAACCTCACAGACCGGCACATCACTAGAGAATGACATACTCATCGCTCGCTGTAGCCGTTTCCAGCTCTCAGACTCCTTTCGTATCTTGCACCCTAAAAAGCTTGAGTTCACCTTTTATGCCGCCTCGAAAGACTCCAGCTCCAGGATTGATCGAGCCCTTGTCTCCTGCTCCCTCCTCCCTCACCTAGAAATCGCTGCTCACACGATGCCTGAATAACGCATCTCTGACCATGGGTTCGCCACCAAAATCGCCTTTAAGATCAAAACCACCGCTCACCTGGGTCCTGGGATCTGGAGGCTGCATGCAGCAGCAATCGGAAGGCCAGGGGTTCGGAAAGCTGTCGAAGCCACTCTTACCAAGGCAGCTGAGAACGGGGAGGAAGGTTTGAGCTGTTGCTGGGTAGGCTGAACGCGGGCATGCGTTCATACATGAAAGAGGAGAGCAAGAGGATTAAGAAAACCACCGCTCATCTTGTGGAGGTGGTTGCAGAGTTGAGGCAGGAGAAGATGCGGAATCCCAGCTGCCAAAGGACGAGGGACCTTATGCAGGTCAGGGAAACGCAGCTGCAGGAGTATCACGCAGCCAAACGTGACCGGTTGCATTTGATGGCGGGCACGAACACCGAGATTGCGGGTGAAGTCCCCTCTCCTTTCCTGTCAGCATGGGTAAAGGTCAGGAAGCAGCGCACGCAGATCGCGAAGTTAACAGTGGGAGGGTCTACAATCACGGATACTCAAGGAATTCTTAAAGCTGCGACAAAATACTTCACCAACTTGTTTGGTTCGGATGGCAGAACATCAGCGGAGAAATGGAAGCCGCTCCCGGGGAAATGGCTGGATGCGGAGGCGGCGGCGACGCTGGAAGCAGACTGGTCGGAGCAGGAGGTGAAGCAGGCCTTCAAGGCGCTTGCTAACAACAAATCGCCGGGGAGAGACGGTCTCCCGAAGGAACTGTTCGAGCGGAACTGGGACATCTTGGGGGGGGAGTTCTTGCGAATGGCGCAGAACTTCGCGGTTACGACATCGATCCCTGCTAGCATCAAAGAAGCGGTCACTATTTTGCTCCATAAGAAAGGGGAGAAAGACAACTTGGACAACTACAGACCGATAACCTTACTTAATTTCAGCTACTAAGTCCTGGCGCGTGTGATGGCGAACAGGATGAGACCCCTCTTACATCGAGTAATCTCAGAGGAACAGTATGGGTTCATACATGGGAGGAGGATCTCGGATGCGATCGGGGTTGTAGCGGATGGCATCGAGGCGGCGAAAAAGGGCAACGAGGACTGGTACATGCTGCTAGTAGATTTCTGCAAGGCGTTTGATTCAGTTTCGAGAAGCTTCATCTTCACGGTCCTAAGGGAGATGGGTTTCCCGGAGAGATTCATTGGCTGGGTGGAGGCTCTGCACAGTGAGACAAGGACAAGGCTGTTAGTGAACGGTTGGATGGGTGAAGCGGTGGACATAAAATCGGGAGTCAGGCAAGGGTGTCCACTCGCCCCATACCTCTTCCTTTGTGCGGTGAAGCCTCTTGCACAAGAAGCAGTCCGTCGGAAGCTGGGCCTCAGCAACAA